CTGAGAGCCAGCCAGGGGCCACTTCCCTTGGTCCCCACAGGCAGCTCCCAAATGGAAGATGCCAGCTTCAGGGGAGTAAGCGGCTCCAGGGTTCTCTCCTTCACCCCTCACCTGCAGGAGGTTGCCCCCAGAGCAGACTGAAGCCCTGGCCAAGGTTTGACCCCCCCAGCCCCAAAATGTGTCCCCGGCCCGCTGCTCACAGGGAAGGTGGCCAGGAAGGTCACTTTCTCTGACTTCTGGTCACAGCCAGGCTTCCCCAAGGCAAGAACTGCGGTTACATCTGAGCCACCGCTGGACTGAATTCTGCCACTCAGCTGCCTGGCTCGGCCTGGCTGACCTGTCTGACCATAGAGCCCCATGGGGCTGCCCCGTGCCTGTGTGGGCACGGCAGGACTCAGCTGTGCTGCGACTGTCCTCCCTCCACTGTGAGATGCAAGATCTTAGAGGAGCGGAGAGGTGCTGGAGGGCGCGGCACTGCCAGGCCTGTCCCCATGGCCTTCCCAGGACCCCCTCTCAGTGGTCCCAAGGCCTCACGCACTGCCAGGCCCATAGTTTGCATGCTGTTAATATTTTTTAAGGGCACCCTGCTCTGTCCCCTTTAGCTCCGCATCCCTGCCTGGGCCATCTGTCACCCTATGTGTCCCGTCCTGTCCCCGCAGGAGAAAGTCCCATGGAAGCCCCCAGGACTTGGGACTTTTTTGCGAGCTTCTGGAAGCCCAGTAGGGAGGGGGGTGTCCAGCAGGGAGCAGAACAGAACCCCCAGGAGGACTGGGGTGCTGTCCCGAGGAGAGCAGCTGCCTGACCGAGGCTGCATTTGTGCCTCGGGCCCCATTATACTTGAAGCCTTGGGGCATCTTGCTGGAGATTATGGGCATCAAAGCCCTCCACAAGCCACCCCCGGTGCCCGTGGCTGGTGTCCAGGAGCGCGAGCCCAGGCATCTGGCCGTCCCGCCACAGTCCATGCCAGGGCTCTGCCTCGAGTCCCACGAAGGAGGGGGAGAGGAGAAGAAAAGGAAAAGGCCTGGGAAAGTAGAGGCCACTGGGGCTGGGGTGGCGGTGTCATTGGTATTCTGCACGCGAAGATCCCTGTCAGCTGGGCGGCAACTCGGTCTCCCCGGCACCAGGCTGCACTCTGGGCAGCCACAGCCCTGGCTCTGGGCTCCCAGCAACGCCACCCGCTGGGTCCAGCCGCTCCCCCCGCCCCGCCAGTCCCCACGCCCGCCCCCTTGCGAGCGCCTGGTTTTCTGTGCTTAACCCGTGATCCTGCGGTCTCACCTCCACCCCTCCAGCTGCAAAGTCAGCTCCTCCTCCGTGCAGAGTGGGAGCAGCAAGAGAGACGAAGTCCAATCCGCACGGCCTGCAGGAAGGGGGCTGCAGCCGCGTGGCCCGGCCAAGTCTCCCCAGAGCTCTCACGGGCAGGAAGGGGGGTCTCGCGCCTCCCCCTCCTGCGTTGGAGCCCCACCCCCATGGGGCGTCCCCCGTGTCTGACCCCCACCGCTCCTGCTGCAGCCCGTCCTCGGTCCCCCCTCCGTCCCGCGGCCATCC